CCAGGTCTTCGCTAATGTAAACAGTGCTGCAATGAACATTCGTGTGCACGTGTCCTTGTAGTAGAATGATTTATAATCCTTTGGATATATACCCAGTAATGGGATTGCTGGGTCAAATGGGATTTCTATTTTTAGGTCATTGAGGAATCACCACACTGTCTTCCACAATGGTTGAATTAATTTACATTCCCACCAACAGTGTAAAAGTGTTCCTATTTCTCCACATCCTCTCCGACATCTGTTGTTTCCAGATTTTTTTATTGATCGCCATTCTAACTGGTGTGAGATGGTATCTCAATGTGGTTTTGATTTGCATTTCTCTGATGACCAGTGATGATGAGCATTTTTTCATATGTTTGTTGGCCTCCTGTATGTCTTCTTTTGTAAAGTATCTGTTCATATCCTTTGCCCATTTTTGAATGGGCTTGTTTGTTTTTTTCTTGTAGATCTGCTTTAGTTCTTTGTAAATTCTGGATATCAGCCCCTTGTCAGATGGGTAGACTGCAAAAATTTTTTCCCATTCTGTTGGTTGCCGATTCACTCATTGCAGATCTATAATTTCCATATATTTAACTTTACAAATACAACAAATTTCTTTTCTAGTTTTTCATTTGTTTTAAACTAATGTTTTTCAATTTTTAACTTTCGTGGGTACATAGTAGGTATATATATTTATGAGTTATATAAATTATTTTAATACAGGCATGAAATGCATAATAATCATATCATATAGTAAATGGGATTTTCATCTCCTCAAGAATTTATCCTTTATGATACAAACAATCCAATTACTCTTTCAGTTATTTAAAATTTAAAACTAAATTATTATTATTACTTATACTCAAAAATATTTTAATTATTGGAATGTCATTAGGTTTTTATATTGTTCAATAATAATTCCTTGTTATGAAAATATTTGTTCATTGAGCAAATGTTTAAAAGTGTGATGAAAATAAAAATCATTCAAATATTATTAATTAGTGGAAGAAACTATAAGCCTTTTGTTTTGTCTCACTTCTAAACTATGTGCAGTAAAGACTTTTTTTGTTTTTAAATAATTATAAATACATGCAAAATTATAACAACAACAGAATTGTTGTATATACACTTCAGCCAGTTATACCTGATGGTTATATTTTACATAATTAAAGTATACTATCAGAAGCCAGGAAATTGCAGTTAGTACAATGGGTGTATGTAGTTCTATGTCATCAGAAGCCAGGAAATTGACATTGTCACAAAGCATACATACAGTAGTATATATAGTTCTATGTTATTTTTATCACATGTAAATATTTGTATAACAACCACCACAATAAAAGTTATATATGTATATTTTTAAATTAAAATAATTCTGTATCATCTGCTTTATAACTATTTTCCATTTAACAATATACTGTATTGAGTACATTTTTCAATACAATTACTACCTGTCCTAAAATGGTAACATTTTTATGTCTGTCCTGTATTTCATTGTATAGGCATCTTTGTATGTTCATCTGGGATAATTTCTTTAAAATAGGTAAAATTAGGTGCTAAATGGCTATGGACTTATTTTTTTATTTTTCTTATTTTTTTATTTCTTTTAATTTTATTATCCTTTATGTTCTGGGATATATATGCAGAACATGCATATTTGTTACATAGGTAAATGTGTGCCAAGGTGGTTTGCTGCACCTGTCAACCTGTTACTTAGGTATTAAACCCTGCCTGAATTAGCTATTTGTACATTAGCTATTATGTCTTCCTCTCCTTGCCCTACCAACAGACCCTCATGTGTGTTGTTCTCCTCCCTGTGTCCATGTGTTCTCAGTGTTCAGCTCCCACTTATGAGTGAAAACATGCAGTGATTGTTTTTCTGTTCCTGTGTTTGCTGAGTGTGATCGATTATTTTTTTACCATAGTCACCTTGCTGTGTTATAAATAATTAATAAGACCTAGCATTTACTAACAATTATTTTGTACTCACTAACCATTATACTTCACTCACTAACCACCCAAAACCCTTTCTGGCTTCTGGTAACCATCCTTCTACTTTTTGTCTCCATTAGTTCAACTGTTTTAGTTTTTAACTTCCATAAGTAAATGAGAACATGTGAAGTGTGTCTTTCTGAACCTGGCTTATTTCACTTAACATGATGAACTACAGTTCCATCCATGTTGTTGCAAATGACTCAATCTTGTTCTTTTTTTATGGCTGAATACTACTCAATAGTGTATGTATACCAAATATTTCTTATTCATTCAGCTATTGATGGACTCAGGGTGCTTCCAGATATGGCTATTGAGTATAGTGTTAAAATAAACATTAGAAGGCAGAACTCTTCAATATACCAATTTCCTTTCTTTCGAGTGTATACTGAGCAGTGTGAGTGGAAGAATCATCATATGACAGCTCTTTTTTTTTTTTTTTTTTTTTTGAGAAACCTCCAAACTGTTCTCCATTTGTACTATTTACATTCTTGCTGACAGGGTAGGAAAATTCCCTTTTCTCCACATCCTTGCCAGCATGTAGTACTGCCTGTCATTTGAATAAAAGTCATTTTAACTGGGTTGAGGTGATATCTAATTCTAGTTTTGATTTGCCTTTCTCTAATGATCAGTGATGCTGAGCATCTTTTCATATACCTGCCTGCCATTTGTGTGTCTTCCTTTGAGAAATGGCTGTTGAGATATTTTGCCTATTTTTAAATCAGATTATTAGAACTTTTCCTGTAGAGTTATTTGAGCTCCTTTTATATTCTGATTATTTATTTCTTGTTCAAATGTGTAGTTTGCAAATATTTTCTCCAGTTTTCTGAGATTTGTTACTGCTGCCTATTTAGTTCATTTGCTGAGGTCATGTTTTCCTGCACAGTCGTCACGCTTGTGGCTATTCATCAACATCTGGGCATTGAAGAGTTAGGTTTTTATTGTAGAATTCATAGTCTGGGCTTCTTTGTATCAGTCTTTTTTGGAAAGACTTTCCAAGTATGCAAGGGAATTGAGTGCTGTGATCTAAATATTTTGGGTCACTGCAGCCACACCTTCACTAGGGGCACCCCAATCCCACTAATATCATGTTTCTTGCAGACTTGTAGAGGTATTGCCTTGGTGGTCTTGAATAAGATCTGGAAAAATTGTCTAGATTACCAGGCAGAAACTTTTGTTCTCTTCCCTTACTTTGTAAGGTACAATATGATGTCCCCTTTCCTCCCTTGGGGAAGGGTGGTGCAAGCACTCCCTTAGTCATGTATGTCTCAGTATGTTATGTAACCTCCAAGTCCACTGGCTTTGAGGCTATCTCAGCACTGCCCTTTAAGTTTATTTACAGGTGAGCCTGTGGTGGTGAAGCTTGCTGAACTCAAGTTTCTACCACTGGGATGTATGATTCCCCTGTAGATAGGATTGCTCAATATGCTTACTTCATGGAGGGCTATCAGCTGAGTTCAATCTGGTTTTGCTTTCCACTGTGACAGGGCAGCATTGAGTCCAATGCAATGTCTCATAATTGCTGTGCTCTCCCTTTCCCAAATGCACAGAGTCTCACCATGCCAAATAGCTGCTATTAAGGGTTGGGTGAGGAGTGGCATTGACATTTCTAAGATTATCTTTTCTACTCTCTTCAGTGGCTGTTTAGTGATATGAAATTAAAACTAGGTACTGTGAATGCTCACCTGATTTTTGGTTCTTATGAGGTACTTTTTCTGTGTAGGTAGTTGGAAAATTTGATATTTCTTTGGAGGTGTGAGGGATAATTGGTAGAGGTTTCTATTTGGCCATCTTGATCTACCCTCCAAGACATTTTTAAATTGAATGTTGAAGCTCTTTTATGAGCGCTACTTTAAATCTTTGTCACATAAATTAATATTTGATTCATCTCAGTTTTGTTTTTCTTGCTGATTTGATTTCTGGAGCTGCTGGGCATACTGTTCTGTCCCTGCTGATGCCACATAAAGGGTATAAGGTGCTTTCTTGGACCTCCTGCTCTTGTTGGCTGACATTTTGAAAGTTGGAGAGAAGCCTTGGCGCCTTGGAGTAACAGAGGTTCTTTGACATTGTCACTGTGAGTAGGTGGGACTGCCCATGAAGTCCCATTTGTATTGCAGGAGTTTGAATGGTCCTGTGCTTCACTGACACTACTGGCAGTGAATAAGTTCACCTACAGGGACCCCGGGTGTAAAGCAGAGTTTGGAATTCTCCACTATGTCTCTGTTGGCCTTCTTCTTTCCTAATCTTTTGACCAGGGAGAGCAGATTTTTCTAGGTTTTTTTGTTTGTTTCCCATATGCCTGTAAATGGTTCCCCGTCACAGTCTGCTGCCCAGTCCAAGAGTTATAAGATATAAAAAGGAAACCTAGGAGGAACTCACCACATTGGCATTACTCAGCTCTTTATCCAGCATGCTTTTAGAATTCTTGTATCATGGTCTGTTGAATAATTTCCAGAGCTTCAGTGATATTAACTGTAGAGAAACAGAAAATAGTGAGTCTATACCTTCTAGTTGCTGAACTGGATGCCCCGAAAACTTATTTTAATGCCTTTTAACATCTTTTCTTTGCCTCCTTTTTCTTTCTATATACTTTTATCAGCACCTAATATTTAACTGGGTATTTAACTGGCAGAAGTGAAAACTTTTATTTTTTCCCACGATTTTGTTATTTTCAATTTGCTGGTATTCTCCTTAGTCAAAGGGTCATTTTCTTGATAACGTATGTTCTAGGACTTGAAGTTCTTCCAAAAGACACAGTGGTCTATTTGTGGTTCACAGTGTAAAGGGGCCAGAAACCAAAATCTTTGTTTCAAACCTCTATAACTCAATGGTTCTAATCTCAAAAATACATTGCTGTATTGAAAATCACTTTGATTCTATATTTTAGCTGCTAATAGATGGGCTTTCCTGGCCCAAAATTTCCAGTTGAAAAAGTACTCTGCTATTTTATATGCTTATAGGTTAATTTTATCCTAAATACAACGTCTTTCATTTTATGTTTTTCCCCTACCTCCCACCCCTGACTACAGATTATTTATGTGGCTCGTAATGCCAAGGATGTTTCGGTCTCATATTACCATTTCGACTTAATGAATAATTTACAACCTTTTCCTGGTACCTGGGAAGAATATCTGGAGAAATTTATAACTGGAAAAGGTACATAGATTTTATCTTAAAATTAATAAGTAATTTTTAAATTTTAATAATTCTATTAACAATAACTTTTATGACTTTCAAAATACTTATTTTTCCAACTCAGTAAAAAGTATGTTCAAATACTATCTAAAACATTAAATCTAATGCATCTAATAGTTTACTATGACATTCAATTTATAAAACTAGTGTTAATCATTGTTACACAAAAGTATCCTACAATCTGTTCTCTGTCGCTAGATATCCATTCTCAGTCCCTGATCACAATAGACATTGTTTAACTTGCTTAAGTAATTAGTTAGATATGTTAATGCATATGTTATATTTATAGTACTTAGATAAATAGTTGATATAAGTACTTTGTAAGATAATAGTTTTCTTCTTTGTGAAGCTAAGTATAACTTTTTGCAGGTCAGTATATTTTTGTCTGAAATGTTTTCTTCATACTTGACATTATAAAATATCTGATGCTAATATATCCATAAATAGCTAATTTTACTTTTTAAAATTGGCCTCATAATCTGTTTCTTTGATTACTAAATTCCACAAACATTTTCACAATTTTACTTAACATTCAGAAAGAAATATTTAATTTGATGAATGTTTATGAAAATAGACTTTTATCTTGTTTTAGTGAGCTATGGTTCCTGGTTTACTCATGTTAAAAACTGGTGGAAGATAAAGGAAGAACACCCAATACTTTTCTTGCACTATGAAGATATGAAAGAGGTAAAATAGTAAATATGGATTCTGGATAATTTCCCTACCACCTCATGCTATAGAAGGATTAATATTTGCTTTTAAACTTAGTCAGCGGAGTCCAAAATGATGATTGCTTTGCCTATCCACCATGTGTTTTTAACCCACATCTTGCTATGATAATTAATGACTTTCTAAATGTGAAATTAATGGTTTGTTTTTATCCCTCTTGTCTCTTAGCCACTGTGTTATGTTACACCACTCTTTCCTCTGCAATTACTTCCTACATTCACCAGGATATCACCTGCTAATTGTTATCTTCTAGCTATCTCACTGATTTTAAAAGTCTATTCATTAATATTTTAAAATTGTTATTTAGAAATTGTTTGCTATATTTGGGCTATCCCTTTTACACTTACTGTTTCATAACTATTATGTGCAATTGTCTTTTATCTGTGCCTCCATTTTTACTTCTACCTCGATTTTCTAGCTCATGCTTGTATTAAATTTAACATGCTCAACACTAATTTTATTTCTCTCCAACACGTAATCTTTTTATTATTTTATTCTTTCTCAACAATAAAAGTTGTTCTTGCCATCTTTATTTCCTATATTTTGCATATCCAATTGGTTCAGATAGTCTATCTATTGTGTCTTTCAAATTATTCTCTCTTCTTCTTGACTACCTCACTCTTAGTGCAGAAACTTGTAATCATCTATTTAGTATAAAGCTGTATTAATTAAATACAACTACAAAGTTTCATGCCACCATTATGGAACTCTTCTACTTACATTGGCCAAATTCACACACACACACACACACACACACACACACACACACACGGAAAACATGTGGAAACTAGCTCCTTTAATTATGAAAGCCTAAACATACAAATTAGAATGCTTTCAGATCTACAATAAAAATTACCGCATTTGTCTTCTTTGAAACTACATCCCAGCACTTAATACTGTGCATACCACATAAACAGGGGTTCAAGGTTACTTGCATGGATCATTGATTGCTTCAATGAATAAATGAGTGAGTTTTAATATCCAAAACTTTAATGACATTAATCTTACTTTGCATAATACAGAAATTTGGCCCCACATGAAATATTTCTTGCTCTAGCTAATTTTGAGAAACTCTCAGGGTGTTTCTTGTATTTTATCACAAAGAATCCTCTGAGTTTTAATTCACTGCTGCAGTTTCATTCTCCATCACAGTTGTCCACATCCCATAAAGAATCTGTGATCTATGTCTTATCATTGTCCCTTTATACAGAGTTTGGGATTATTCATGTTAATTTGCTCATATCACACAGCTGCAAAACCTAGCATGGTCCATGAAACTACTGTAAAAAGTAATATGTCTCTTGAGAACTTGTTTAGCCAGAGATAAGTTATAAATTATTAATAAGAGAGAAAATTGTTCCTGCTCTCTAACAAATACCTCTCTTCATGTTTTTGGATGGCAGAGCAACACTTAAAAGCTTCAAGAAAAGAACAATTTTAGTGTCTGATAAAGTCCCTTTTCTCCATAAGGCTAAGAATACATTTCCTCTGCTTGGCTGCTATTCAAATTCCAAAACAACCATTATACTCTTTCCCATATAACATTTGAGACCATTTTTGTCCTTATTTAGCTAAGATGCTTTCAAATAAACTTACTCATTTTGATTTATAGTCTAACCCAGTTACCTTTTTAAGCATATTCATATATTTTCAACGTTCTTCAAACTTGTAATGTACATTGCACTTAGCAGGCAATATTTTTTTTTCTGTCATACAATCATTTGAAGATAGTGTTATAGATAAGTTTAAAGAAACAACAATACCAGAAGAAAATTATGGAATAGACATCAATAACGAAATTTGAAAAAAAGTTCAGTAATTTACATGTTTATGAATATCTACATAAATTCCTGATAAGTGAGGTAAAAGAATAATACATCAGAGGAAGATTCAGCCAGAGCCAGGACTCTGCTTTAAGTATATTGGTGTATAGACTAACACAGTGGTTCCCAGCTTTTTTAGCACCAGGGACTGGTTTTGTGGAAGACAATTTTTCCCTGAACAGGATGCAAGGGGGCTGTAGATGCGTGATTTGGGGATTAAACTGTCTTACCTCAGATCATCAGGCATTAGTTAGAGTCTCATAAGGAGTGTGCAACCTAGATCCCTCACATATTCAGTTCACAATGAGTTCAGGCTCCTTTGAGAATCTAATGCCACCACTGATGTAACAGGAGGCGGAGCTTAGGCAGTAGTGCTTGCTCCTCCACCATTCGCATCCTCCTGTGCGGCCCAGTACCTAACAGGCCACTGACTGGCACTAGTCTGTGGCCAGTGGGTTGTGGACTCCTGGACTAATATCATTAATACTTTAGCATTAGCCAAATTATTTTACAAATATTTTTGATCCCCCCCAAAAAATGCCCTCTATTTTCCTGTCCATCTATGTGATTTTATAATACAATTACATATTTTCTTTTGGGCTTATCTCCACTATCATCATATCTGCTCTTTTTCTCATTCTAACCATGGACACACCCTAAGTTGTTATCTCATTCTTCTGTCAGAGAGGACGGACACAGAAAATATAACAGATCTTCTTGATTTTTAATATTTTATAATTAGTTTATTTAAAAATTGAGAAAAATAAACCCAAACAAATATGGATTTCCTATACTGTTTGGAGTCAACATTTATAAAAACAGATCATAAATGTTTTTAGTTTTATAAATATTTACATTGTGCTAATTTCTTGTTTATTGCCTTGGGCATGACTTTTTACCCACTGATAGAATCCAAAGGAGGAAATCAAGAAGATCATGAAATTTCTAGAGAAGAACCTGAATGATGAGATCTTGGATAGGATCATCCATCACACTTCATTTGAAGTGATGAAGGACAATCCTTTGGTGAATTATACACATCTACCAACTATGGTGATGGATCACAGCAAGATCCCCTTTTATGCGTAAAGGTAAATACTTTCCTGGGTTTAAATTCTCTTTTTCACTTCTTATGAATTATCGTGAGCTAAGGATTAGTTCTGTGATCTCTACTAAGTTACTTACCCTATTTAAACTTTACACTAAATACCTACCACCAAAAGTTGCTGAGATTCAAAATTATTAAATGAAACAATGCATGTAAAGCTATTACTAGAATACCTTGAACATTTGATAAATATTTATTTTCCTATTCCTTACTGTGCTAAATGAGAGTGGTTTTGGCAATTTTGATGTGAGCAATTCCAAATTTGCCATTCTTACTCCCTCAAATCTTTGTCTAAATTGGCATAGATAAGCTTCCTTTCCCTCCTCAGTGAAATATTAATTTCATTTAGTACAGTATCATAGTCTTTAAAGTCCCTATATCACATAAAAAACCATGGGAATTGCATTAAAAATAATTCACCAAATGGAGAAACTCTATTTTAACCTTAAGATTTTTTTCTCCCTCTACAAATACTGTAACTATAGGTAACATGGAGTCCAAATTTCACTTAGAAGGATATGGTATTTGCTGCTGAAATACGTTATTTTTATTTAAGCAGTCTTTTTACCATGGCTTATCACACATAATATATGTCAAAATGTGTTAATGATAACAATACATTTTACAAATTATTAACAAATAAATTTAAGAATGTATCCACCTAATAATGCCACCTTTTGTTTTCAATATCTTTTATTGAATTGGAAGGAGAGGAATAGAATTTCAATTTATATATTAGGATGTAAGCACAACCTTAGAAATGTATTGCGCATATGAACTTACAAAACAAAACCACTGATTTTCAGTAATATGATTAAATTTTCTGAAAAGTTGTTTATTAACATTAAAATAGCAGATAGCCCTAGTGTTTTCAAATTATGCTCTTTATTTTTCAAAAACACTACATTTAGCCTATTAAAAATAACTGCTAGAGTAAGAAAGCAGGTACATTTTTCATCATAAATTATACACATTCTAAGTTTGAGCAAAGAAGACTAAAGACTGATGTGTGTGTGTGTGTGTATATATATATATTCTGTATGCTTATACACAGATGTAAATGTATGTGTATGTACAGTCATTCCTTGTTATACGTGGGGTATTGGTTCCAGGAACTCTGCTTCTGAATATACCAGAAGCTCCCTATATGAAAAGTTGGGACTCCAAACATGTTGGTGGGTTTCTCATCATGCAAATACTGTATTTTTTAATACTTTTAGTTAAAAATATGTCTGTGTATAAGTGTACCTGGCCAGTGCAAATCTGTGTTGTTCAAGGGTCAATTGCATTCATATACATACATATTATTTTTCCTGGTAGAAGAATTAGAAAATAAAATTTTATTAAACGTGACTAATTCTCACTGTTCTAGATACCTGGATGTAATTTCCCAGAAATTTTATCTCAAATCATATGAAAATTGATGCCATTTCATGACATCTAATTATGGTGTAGGCATAAAGAAGACGAGCTCAGTATCTGGGTTCTATGGCATCTCCAACTTCAACAGAAAAAAAGCACATGCTATTCTAATATTGAAGGCAGTATTTGTATCCCCTCTGCAGGTGGTTAAGACCATACTTTTGTGGTCAGATTGATCTGAGGTTTATGCAGGCTATGCCATTCCCTGAACCTATGACCTGGAATACATTAATTAACCAGAGCCAAAGCTCTGATTACATCACTGGCAAAATAGAGAATATAATAACATCTATGGCACAAGATTCTGTGGAGTATTATGGCAAATAATATGTAAGCATTAAGGATATTTTCTGACAATAAATAATGCATACAAAGGTAAAAACTGTTATTAGTCTAAATAGTTCAAGATTCCCTCCCGGCTTCCTTCCTTCCTGCCTTCCTTTACTGGTGTATCCAGTAAATATTTAGACTACTCATTCATTTATTAATATACATTAAAAAAAAACTACAGCTGGGTGAGGTGGCTCATTCCTGTAATCCCAACACTTCTGGAAGCCGAGGCAGGTGAATCACGAGGTCAGGAGTTCGAAACCAGTCTGTCCAATATAGTGAAACCCTACCTCTACTAAACATACAAAAATTAGCCGGCCGTTGTGGTGCACACCTATAGTCCCAGTTACTCAGGAGGCTGAGGTAGAAGAATCATTTGAACTCGGGAGGTGGAGGTTGCAGTGAGCTGAGATTGCACCACTGTACTCCAGCCTAGGCAATAGAACAAGACTTCATCTCAAAAAAAAAAAAAAAAAAAAAAAAAAAGAAGAAGAAGAAAGAAAGAAAGAAAAGAAAAAAAAAAAAAAAAACAAAAAGAAAGGGAAAACAATACTTCATGAATACCTATACCCAGCATACTTTCTATAAAAGATTCAAAGGTAAATGAAACATATATTTGCCTCAAGAAGCTCACAATGTAGTAGGTCATATGCCAAAAGAAGTGAAGTATGAACAATTACGCCAGGCACACTGAGTCTTGAAAGATACCATGTTAGATAAATCAATGTATTAGCCATACAATACTAGCATTATGCGGGTGGGTTAGATAATGTCCAATGTTTATTCATATATCTTAAATTACAACAAACAGAAAAACCTGGGCTTTGGCCAGCATTTATCAAAAGTTTTCTTGTGAAGCAAATGTGTTTGTGTATATTATAGAATTTAAGTGCAGATCAGGTCACTGGAATATTTTCTATATAACTTTTAATTCTTAAACCTGCATTCTCCTCTGTTTTTAATGACAACGTTATGGATGCATTAGCCCCAGTATGTTGATGTTGAACCCTTATGTACATTCCAGAGCTATTGACATCTGGTAAACATAGAACAAAGTGTAATAACTAAGGAAACAACCATATCTATAGGAATGTTTTTTTCTTTTAAAAGACTTGAAAGCTTTATCAAACCATTGTGGATTAATGTAGCTTGTAATTTAATATGATATACTACTATTTCATAAAATAGTAAGGTGTTTTTCCCTAAAAATATTAGCAGCGTGTTAAAATTGTTCAGTTCTCAAATACTTATTTATAAATACACAAGTATGAGAGATTAAATTTAAATTTATATCCTCAAAGTTTCAATTTAAAAAGCATGGTTCAGGGATGTTATTTATTTGATATTAATGTTATTATTCCCACCTAAATTGCAAATAAAGAACAAGTCTAATGAATTTAGGGAAAGCAAGTATCATCTTTATCATAGCATTCTTATTTATAAATTCTAGGAAATGATATTTATTAACTTTTTATTTTACAGTTTTGTTGTTCTGATGACCAATTTTTTGTATGGTTTCCAAAAGTTACTTTATGAAATAAAATATGCTCTGACTATTGATCCAAGTACTCGGTGATAATCTCATGAACCAGGACTATTAGAAACAGTAAAATTATCATTATTGGGAAATTATTGTGAAGCCCAGGAATTTAAACAAGAAAATTAGTCTTTTTTCTCAGAATGCCTCTTCAAATGTCAGACTCTATTTAGTCATAAACCTCCTTTCCAGATGGAAACATTTATTCAATTTTTAAAAGACTTAAGAATTTAAAGGTTAAAATAATTTAAAGTTTGTTTTAATTCATTCAAATAAAAGGAAAGTCTTCCTTGAGGCCTTTTAAACTTTTCCTTTGGTATATACTGTTTTTATTCCTATGGAAATAATTTATTCGTTTCTATGTTTTCTTATTTGTCTTTAGGGATCATTGGTGACTGGAGGAATTACTTCACAGTGGCCCAAAATGAGAAATTTGATGCCATTTATAAGACAGAAATGTCTGAAACTGCACTTCGATTCCGCACAGAGATTTCAAGTGCCTAAATCATAAATCTGAAGAAAGAAGAGATTGTCTACAGTTGATTGAAATGAGGGCAGTTAATAATGGATTTGGGCAATCAAATGAATTTATAAAGGAATAATATGCTTTTAAAACATTGATTTTTTGCAGTGTTATTAATCACATCCCAATTTTGTTTCTTTGATTCTGAGGTTCCAAATTCTCGAAGGCTGAAGTTGATTATTATCTTTTTGTATCAAAGAAATAATGTAACAAGCTCTTCCTGCCTTTTCCTACACTAGAATTGATAAGGAAGAAGGGATTTATTTTACTTAATCTCTCATATATTAGGATTTAGAATTAAGTTCTCCTCCCTAGTACCATGGTCCAAGAAATGCTGTTTTCATAATGACACTATATTTTCTAACCCTGCCCCAATTTCCCTTTGATGAAAATTTGACCCAGGACACTGTGTTCCAGGGCTGTCTACTGAGTTTCAAGTTGTTCTCTGAGTCATAGCTCATCTTGCAGTGCCTGTATTTGGATAACATACTTCATGTCCCAGATCATGTTGTTCAGATTTTGGAAGTATTTTTTCTATATCATATCCAATGTCAAAATCTCCCAATGGCAAACACCTACAATAGTCTCTGTAGAGTTCTTCCCTGGGAACTGCAGCTCTGTTCTGAGAGCTGGTCCTGAGGGCTGTGACCTGCTTCCTATAGGGTGTCCTCTTTTTCCCAGACCCGTTTGATCTTCAGAGAATCACCTACTGCTTTGTTCTTGTCACCATTTGTGAACTTTAGTTACTTAATCTTATATTTAAATATATTTGGATACTTTAATAGCACCTTCAATACCTTAGACATGATCATAGCCTTTGCTGAAAATTTCCCAACCTGATGCCCAGTGAAGATTCTCTAGGCTGAGTCTCCACTCTGCCCTTCTGATCCAATGTTCCTTATTATTACATGTTTATGTCTATTTGTTTGATCTATGTTTTCTTGGAACATTTATTTATCAACTCTAGATTTCCATTAGAAGTCGTCATTTATATCTTTATGTGCAGCAAAGTCTTTTTCCTGAGGTCAGATCACCTGTGCCAAGACATATGGCAAGTCATGGTTCTCAAACTGAAGCTAGAGTACCCTGGCCCCTTCCTTGTTCTGAAAGGGGTGGGAGTAGTGGTTTCTGACACACTGTTAGACTTTCTGAGCCACAACTGAGGTAGCTATGGTTTATGATATTTTAACTTCACAGGTGAATCTCTGCTGTCAGCCAGGAATATCTAAAACAGCTCCTTAATCTGTAACTTTTTTCTAACCCCTGTAAAGGATTAGTCTAATGTTAACTGTAAACCCTCCAGAAGTAGTAAACCTATTATTCTGGAGATAGTTGCTTCTATAGATTTATTATAATATGTGTTATAAAGTATTTTAGTGTATGTAATTTGTTTTTATGTTCCACAGAAACATATTTCATAGGAGTTAGTCTTGACTGTCTGGAGGTATTATGAACTAGTTTCAGCTTTCTCCAATACTCTTGTCCACAAGAAGTAAACTAAAATAAATCATGTATCTATTTGCTCTATTATATTTGTTAATTAATAAATTAATGTGGCCTGAATATATATGGATTTTTGATACTATGGTTTATTATTGGGGACAAACACCTCTAAACTATCCTCTAATCTGTGTAATAGATTAGCTACACGAACTTTCTTCAGTAGCAAAATAAAATAATTTCCCCTTTTCTAGTTTTACTTTGTAGAAATAAGTCTCTATAATTCTACTGTATTCAACAAAAACTTAGTAAATTTAAATTATGCCTCGAGTATGTTTCATAATAGGTATATTATGCACTGAGTGAAGAGTGGAGATAAAAAATATAAGATAAAAAATATAAAAAATATTTAGATTTTTCTTTACATTTTTTATAGGTTGTTGCCTCCTTTATATTTATTCTCTAATGCAAATGTCACTATCTTAATTCATCAGTTTATGTTTAACATCACACAGTGGCACTTTTACTATGATTTAAATACATTTGATATCCTTTGAAATCGTTCAGAATGCTGCCAAATTAATTTTTCTAAAACAATGCTTTTATCATTATTTCTCCTATTCAATCATCAGTACAATTTTCAAATGAAAACACTCAAAATAATCTCATGTTAATGTCTTTCTCTAACAGGACCATGATGTAAGGACAATGATAAAAAAATAGCTGACAATGATATGATTATTTCCTCATCCACGAAAATTCTCCCTAATCAGCTAAAGGGCTATTTTCTAAAAAGCCAAAGCATTGCTTACAAGAACTTTTCATCATTACATGAATAGACATTCAGATTTAGACATTCAAAGGGAAGTGTCATGTATTCCCGTTCACGCCACCCTATTTTAATGTGTAGATAACACATTATCTTAACTCATTTTCTATCCACATTCTTCACTCTCTTTCCCATTGACCCTATGTTTTGTTTGATAGAAATTGTATCATTGGAGGCTTTTGAGGGTTAAGTATTATGCCCCATTTCAGCATTAATAAACACATAACTCTTTTCCATATTTGCTAATCCCTTTCATACACAGCAAAAGATAGTATAATTTATTCAAAATGCTTGATATTAATGATATATGGGAAAACAATTATTTTGTGTAGTGATCTTCAGATAACTGGGAAAGGTCAGAGGAAAAACAGAGATACTAATGATTATCAATGAACCCAAGTATAAACTGTTTTTATTCTGTAAGCTATCTTCACAAATATGTGAAGATATATTTGTTTCTTATTATATATGACCGTAAGAACTGTTTTATATATATATATATATATATATATGTGTGTGTGTATAAGTGTATATATAAATATATATAACATTATCGAAACATTATTTCCACATTATCGAGACATTACTTTCAGCTGCTGTTTGATGAATACAATACAATATAATTTATTGTATTTGACATTATGACATTTAACTGGCTTATATTTTGAAATCTTACGTATGCTTTTTATGGCTGCTTTAATTTCTCACCCTCAAAATATAGATGAGTATCTTTGTAGTAGGTAAATCATGAAAATTGACAGCTTCTTCCCTAGTTAATAACTCTGCATATTGTTGTTTGTGCATGGAAGAGACGCTAAATCAGGAGGGGATTTGAGGCAACACTGAAGCCCAAGGAATATAGAACAAAAGATAAAAGCACAAAATTTCTAATTATAAAGCCTTTTTAAAATCAGGTCTTTGCCACTTTCTAACCATGGAAACTTGAGCAAGTAACAACTTTTCCATGCTCAATTCTTTATCTGTACAATGTAGACAATGAGTATTTCTTGCAAAGATGAAATAAAATAAAATATAAAACAATTAGAACAGTGCCTACCATACTTTAATGTGCTCATTTAATCTTAGTGGCTATGAAGGTAATCATTGCTAAAATCTTGAAATTGTGTTTAACTAAATGGGATTGAGGCATCAGATTTCTTGTTGCACACTGCTAACTGGCTTCAAAATGTACAGATATTTCGCAAATTACTGGGAGGCAAGAGATTCCTGGCTTCACTACTGTTGCCATTGTTCTTTTGTTGTTTGCTACCAAGTTAAATTTTTCACATGCAATTACTCTTGCTTAAGGCATTACTGTCAAGTACTAAATATTTTCAATGTATGTCAATGATCATCATTCAATAGAAAAGCACAGCAAGGCTGTAAAATTTGAAATAACACTTCAAATGACATATAGGTTGTAATAATCCAGCCACTGAAAAAATATAAAGATAATTTAGATGCAGGCACATAGGTGAACTGAAATTTCTCAGTGGGAATTTGAGTACATGGGGAAGCCTGTTTTTAAAATTTAAAATTTAAAATTTTAATTTCTGTATTTTTATAGAGCAGGTTCTTGCCATGTCACCGAGACTGCTATCAAACTCCTGGCCTGAAGTGATGCTCAGTCTTGGCCTCCCAAAGCATTGGGATTATAGGCAAGAGCCACTGTGCCCAGTCATGAAGTCTACATTGTCAAACTTAGCATTTGAGTATCATGTAAATTCACATATATAGTCTATCAATAATGCTTTGTAATCATTTTGGTAGCAATTGGGAAATGTCATGCCTCAGCATTTTTTAGAAAATGCCAGTGGACATATAGAAAATGATTTTTAAATGTGCTTGAAAACCTTAAATGCAAATTTTATTGATCCTATTATAATCATAATTATGTTGGGTGGAAATTGGGAAATGGCAAAACACAAATGGGCTCTCTCTCTTACTTTATCACCTTACCTAAGAGAGATGGTTGTGCCTCTTATTGATCACAGCCTTTCTTAATTATAAGAATAAATAATTTTCTAAATAATTATACAATATGGTAATCGAATTGCATACATGCAATTGTGCAATTTAATTCAACACTAATATGATATGTAGAATGATATATATTTTATCTTTTATTAACATTTTTATTGATAATTTATTAGATATCAGATAATCTTATAGAAGTATCAATGTACTCCATTTTAAAGCAAGCAAACTGAGACTTAGAACTGGGATTCAAATATAAGTCTGTTTGTCTTCAAAATGTCATTCTTCAACATTGCCTGATACTTTGTAGAATTATATATAAATAATCACCTTCAGGTATTAGATTACCTCTCAAACGTGTCATAGAAATAATTAAGTAATGGTGCCTAAGCTGACAATGTTAACGTTACAAGTTCTGTTTACTCTCAGAGACCTCCTATTGCAAGGATACTGCCTGAGAACTTGTGAATAATAAATTTATGAGCACTTTTTCTCTATAAACTATGTCATAATTAGTGCTTGTTTATAGTCTTAAATAATGTAATACCATAGTTCAAGCTCATCTAACTTGAGTTTCAAGTGTTGATTTTAAAACTTACTCATTAGAAAGGAATGTCTCTGGTAAAACGCATAAAGTACCAACAAATGATTGATAAGATAATGCAGCCTATTTGCAAGATGGGCACTAACTGTTCTCTGTCCTGTTCTCTTCTACTGAGAGGAAGAGAACAATATATCACAAGTCTTATGAAAAGGCTTCTCCTGCAACTTTGAATATGGGAAAAAAGGAGAGAGAACAAAATATTTTTTCACAATCTGCATCCTCCATATCCCCTCCCTCCCTTCCTCTAGGACTATTGGCAAGAGTATCAAAATTGTTGTGCATATTATAAGTATTTATAAAAGAAAGATTCTTGTATCTCTCTTTAGAGATTTTGATTAAGAAAGCCTGGAGTGGGACACC